GAGAGACAACTCCGACAAACGACGACCCAAGCGGTGACGGTCAGCCCGAGCACGCATACGAGGTCAGCGTTTGCTATAAGCTAGTTTATTTTTTTAATGTTTATGAACGAAATATCATCTGGTTTATGTAAAATATATCATACTTATACATTTGAATGCATTCCCTCGTGTTTACATGAATTATGTCCAAGTTAGTTTGAATTGCGGATGGATGTATTGCGGGAAGAGTTGCGAGGCTGGCCCATGTATCATTGTTCGCGAACGCATCCGGACGTGTTCATTGACGGATAGTGTGTCTGTTTTACGAGTCTATGTTGGAGATGCCCTTAGCTCTCTTGCTAATTCTTAAAAAAAAACTCGGTTGCTAGTTTTGCGTCTAATTTGTACAATTTGATGCTGTCTTTTGAGCTAGTATATTCGTAAACCTGTTGACATTTTACGTTTCTGTTCTCTGAATCGCCATTGTGCTTAATCAATCGTGTTTCCAATTTATTCCATTCTTGAAGCCCGTGTACCGGTGATACGGGTGGTACATGACGGAGGCGTCTGATGGCAGTACTGTGAATGGGCCATGCTGTCCCGTGCTATGGGCTTCATACGACAAAGACCAAACGCGTAATACATGCAGCCTCTCTTATCCCAATGCGAACGGCCGGGCAGAGATTCCCTGAGCAGGCGAGCTATGAATTTTCCCTCTACTGTCATTACCTTTTCTTCCTGCGCCTTTTGTATTTGTTTCAACCTTTCGGTGAGAGGCCTGCCTCGTAATGTCAGCATCACCTCGAGTTAAACCATCTAAAGTATTAAAATCTTGTTAGTCGGTTTCAAAACATAAATAAATCTTGTTAGTCTGAAGAGATGTACGTATTTGCATTGTCTTTTGTGTTGTCTAAGGCGATAACATCGTTGCGCTTCTCCTTGTCGACTGAGATATTATGAAATTTTGTAAGAGGATTATTGTTATAATGCTGAGTGCCTGCATAGTTAACAAGCCGACAGCCGTTCAACATCTAGTCATCAGAGATGTGCTGCTTCCGCTGTATCTAAGAGACTGTAGACAGTCCATGGCTTTGACAAGGCTGATGCAAGGGTTCTTGTTTACAGGAAGGAAGACATCACTGACAGATGACGGTACGCACTTCCAACAAAGACCACAGGAAACCGCCCGCAGATTTCTGATCTACCCACAAGTTCAGGCACCTTGTTTATTTATCGATAAGCAATGTGGCTCGTCTGATTGTGATATTCCGCTCACATCCTCTTCGAACGATTCCGTTCACTTTGGTTTGCTTGCTTTCTTGGGTGAATCACAACACGGTCCGCACTTCTCTTTTCTGATGAGAGGACATTCCAGGCTCTACCAACTTTTACAGTTTGCTTGCTGGTGCTGCCCACCAACAATTTAACGGACAGTTAGTTTTTTTTTTCTCAAAAAGGAGGCATAAGATTTGCCACTATTAAGTAACAGACAGTTAGTGATACTAGCATTGCCTGCAAATTCGAACTGCAGAAACCTGATGAAATAGGTAGCCCCAGGGAATTCGGATTTGAGACATTAGAGCATCTATAGCCGGACCTCTCAAACTCGTCTCACACGTTCGGATGGGCCATCTTGTCACTGTCCAGGTATGACCCAGACGGGCTTCTTAAACGGCCCTCAAACGTCCGGGTTGATCGGCACCCCTCATATCCAGCCTAAATATAGAGTTGATATGGGGGCGCCCGGGCACGCCTGCCATGTCGGACCCGACAGCCCATCCCCATCTTAAATCGCACCAAATCCATTAAATCCATCAAACCCTTCCTCCTTCTCCCGCCGCCCTCCAACCATTCCCGTGTCCGGACCCTCGCCGTCCTCCATCCTTGCTCCCAATCCTCACCTCCGGTCCCTATCCACCACCGGAGATGTCGTCTAGCCTGACCCACACCGCCGTGACGGAGACGCAGTCTGCCTCGTCCGTCGGCAGCGTCAATTTGTCGGCTGCGACTTGCAAGGCGGAGAATGTCACCCGGAAGTTGCGGCGACACCGGCAGCAAGAGAAAGAGAGGTTGCAACTCGCACGGGACACGGGAGATGCGAGGATCATGTTGGCGGAGACCCTCTTGGACGAGTTTGCGAAGAAGTGGCTTGCAGACAAGAAAGAGATCAACGCCCGTAGGGACTGCGAGGTAGCGAGGGCGGCTGCGCCCCGGATGCATGCAAAGGAGGCGCCCCGGATGCAGGCAGAGCAGGACGCGTTCCGCTCGGAGCAGGCGCCCAGCTAGTGATCCGAGGCCATCCGTCACGCTCGGACATTGATTTTATTTTGCCATATCCGATTTGTTGAACTATAATTTGTTTTGCTCTGTTTTGGACTTTGGCATTCGGACAGTTTGTACCAAGAATCAAAATTTACGTTATGTGGATGTGTAGTGCAATATTTGAGGGATGATCGTTTGAGGCGCCGGATTTGCCAAGTCCGGCTTAGATGCTCTTAGGCAATCTCTTGAATTGGTAAGCGGGTACGACCCTGGCTGGCTGGAGCTGAACTTTCTCGATCGGTTCTAGCTTCCGTCGTGCAATCATTCGTTGAGGGTCAACTGCTTCACTGTGAAGTGTGAACTTCCTGATGTGCGCTGTGTTTGGACTTTCGGGCAAGCAACCTTGCCAGTTCATCTTCATCCTCTCTGGCCAAGCGCCAGCTACTGGAACTACAGTAGTCAGCTCCAACCTGAAGCTTGGGCATGGTCGACATGAAAGAGCAACGACACGGAAGCACGTGGCGTACACCTGCAAGTTACAGGACACGAGTCGCGCCTGAAGACTGAACTCTCATTACGTAGTACACCGTCCATGTCCGTGGCGCTGTGGCAGCAACCACCGGGCGACGATCACGAGACGAGCCAGCACGACCAGACAGCTTTCCTACCGCCAATGATAAGTGGCGCACTTGCTCGCGGATATAGCTCGCGCGTCCCATCTCCCGGCCCCGGAGTGCGAGTTCACAGAAGGCGGCATCATGATTGCGTTTCTTCGAGGCTACGGCAACATTTCCACTTGCGAGCACGAATTAATCTGCATCTCCAGCTATACCCGGTAGCATGCAGTTGACGGTTGGCCGTTGCACCAAGTATTAATAACTATTTTCGCAAAAAAAAAGTAGGAGTGCAATTAATTAACTCGAACTGTCTAATGTATACTACTAAATAAATAAGTAAATCCTTGTATAGTGATTGTGCAAGATAGCGTCAACCGCAAAACGATGTGAGGCCGCCGACGGGCATGTGTCACCGCGATGCATGCGACCTGCACGCGACCAACGTGATGGCCGCTCAACAAGAGGAGGAACCGCGACAGCCGCCAACAGGGTGCGTCCAAAACCGCGGAATTTGCAGCTCACCGCCCACAAGCATTGGCGGCTAGGCGCTGTCATCTGTCCGACACGAATAAACAAAGCGCACAGCGACGCGCCGAAGGCACCCAGTTTGCGGCCAGGCGTGCACTGACGAGGCGCCGGACGCACCGCACGCGGCCACGACGCCTCCCAACCGCCGCGGCTAAGCAATGCCACGCCAGCCACCGGGGCGGTGAGCTGCAGGAGAATCCGCTGAAAAAGCCGCGTTCCCACGGCGACCGTCCGGGCCCCGTCCATGCGAGATCCCGCGCTCCCCCGCGTTCCCACTCGTCCCACCCACTCGCAACCATCCGGCACGGCGCCCACGTAGGATCCCATCCCCACGTCACCGTCCAGCGCGGCCGAAGCGTCGGCTGTGGCTTTTGCCCGGACGGTACTGCCACCCCCGTTCGCTCCAAGCCTCCCACTATATATCCGCGCCTCTCAGACCAGCTGGTCACACAAAGACCACCTAATCTCTCTCTCTAATCCGACGGAAGCAGCAGCAGCTAGCGACACACAACAACTACAGCAAGCACACAGCAGGAGGAGGAAGAAGAAGGCTCCATCTATCTATACTCTATAGTTCCACACGCATGGGGAACTGCGCCATCACGCACCAGGCCACGTCGTGGGCGGACGACGGCGAGTGGGAGCTGCCGTCGCCGGGCGACGACGAGGCGCACGAGGAGCGGAGGAAGGAGCACGCCAGCGAGGTGACCATCCGGATCAGCAAGCGCCAGCTGCAGGAGCTGGTGGACAAGAGGGCCGACGACGGCGTCTGGAAGGGCCGGCGGTCGGCGTCGGAGCTTCTGGCGGACATCATGAACGCCGGGGAGGTGCACCACCACGTCGACCACTGCAGGGCGGCGCACTGGAAGCCCGCCCTCCAGAGCATCCCGGAGGCGGTGGAGTCGTGACGCTACGCCCCGTGACGCGTGCCGGCCATGGCTTTCGATCGCCGGGTTTGGGTTTCTCGCCTCTTTCTTGGTTGCTTCTTCGCCGTGTCTCACAGCTTTTTGGCGGCCTTTTTGTGCTATTCTTTGGTTTGGATCCAACGAACAATGTATATACTAGTAGGGAAAGTGGTGATGTAAATTGTAAAGTAGATGTTCTACTGTCCATACGGCTTTTTGTGTGTGGAACAACAACAAACCAAACATTCTCAGTTGATCTGCTGCTTTGTGTGTGGCACAAACCAAGCATTTTCACTTGATCCGCTGTCCAAAAACACGGTACAGACGAGCTTACCAGGAAGAGGAGGAAGAAGAAACCTACAAGGGTGCAAAGCAATGTTGGTTGGTTGAACCCAGAAGCCAAACCTGGAAACTGATGAGGACAGAAGCGATTCTGTATGCCCTGCAAGGGTGCAAAGCAATGTTGGTTGGTTGAACCCAGAAGCCAAGTTATGTTCCACTAAAGAAACAAGTTATGCAATGTAATTATGATTATGAATCATTGGGTGTGATCTGCCCTGTAGACTCGTGGGTACCAATGAAGAAGATTGCACACATGCATTTTCTTTCCTCCACGTTCAGAAGCCCGTGCATTAAAATTGGCATTCTTGGCTCGTCCGCCTGCCGCGAGAGGCATGAAAGACCTGATTCGCTATTATATTAGAATTTTACGATTTATTAGAAATCACCTCACCTAATAATATTACAAAAATACTATACTATGTATTAGAAATACTGGTAGAGTGGACTTCTCGACTTCTGACTTCCTTTTGTGTAGTATTTAACCAGGCTACACAATCAATGAGGTTACAACAATCGAAAAAACAAAAATGATAGAGCAGAGATATGGATTAGGGGGGTCAAGTGCTATTAAAATAGGCTGGGGAGAGCCAAACCTTAAGCAAATACTCCCTCTGTTTCAAAATACTTGACTTTCATTTGTCTAAAAAATGGATGTACCTATATACTAAAACATGTCTAGATACATCTATATTTTAATAAATGGAAGTCATGTATTGTACTTCCTCCGTTCCAAATTACCCGTCACAGAAATGATATATCTAAAACTAAAATACATCTGGATACATCTATACCTGCGACAAATAATTCAGAATGGAGGGAGTAGATGTGTAGCAGTATATTTTTTTCCTAATTCTGCATTGTTCAGCAATTTGACAGCAAATTCTTGATGTTAGAGGGGGCCAAGGCCCCTGGCGCCCCTGTCTCCGTCATTGGTTATCGTGGCTCTTGCTCCATAATATGATTCTCACCACTAACGGTCTTGCCCTGAAGGAGTGGCCGCATGACCCAATCTACCAGCTCTGTCTCTAGGCCCCTAAGACCGCCTCTCATCTTTGCAAAGATTGCCCCTTCACTTCGGGCGTCCATCAACTGGTGTTGTCTTAGATGTGTCATGCATTTTTTTGATCCGGTGGATACCTTCTCGTCAATTGATGAATGATAAGAAGGCTGGTAGAAGGATCCCAACAACAATCTGAGGAGGCGCCTCATCTACCTCCTCATGAATGTCATGTGGAATGCATGAAAGGAAATGAACCGTTGTATTTTCAATGGCACAAGAATGACTTAAATCGAGGTGGATCACCTACTCTATGAGGCCTATCGTTTAGTCCTTGTGTGATTTAGAACCATAAGTATTTGACACATAATTGTTTTGTTGGGGTTCTGGCATGTTCCTGCCCACGAACATGCCACTTTATACATATTTTCCTCTTCTTAATGAAAAAGCTGTGCTCTTGTTAATTCCTCAAAAAATGATATAGGAAGTACAATCGCCGTCTGCACCAGAATAAAAACACACTACCAAAGTGGTTAGGGTGAACAATATCAATACTAGGGAATGCACAGAGAAACATCTCGACACCTGCGAATGGCAACACCCTACCAAGAGTCAATGGACTCAAACAACATTATTCAACGACTACATGATCTTGAGCGTCGTACAGAACATTGAAACCACAATCCAAATTGGCTAATAAGTTTTTATTATTGTGAGTTGTGCTGCAATCAGATTGGAGGAGCTTGCAAAACCAAGGTCCCACCAAGAACAAGATTCTTGCCAGCATACTCGGCGATAATCACCATCGGCGAGTGACAATAGTCATTGCATCCATCATTAGGCCCAGCCGACCACAATCTCGCTATTTAGACAGCGGGTACCAATTCTTAAGAAATGCGAGAAATTTGAAGTTAGTCAGAGGCCTGCCTAACAAGACTCGTTCAATCACCATCTTATTGTAGTTCGTGCATGACGTCCAATCTAGTGCCTTGAACACAATCTAGAAGAGTCGACTCCTCTTTCTGGTCTAGTTGGCACGGGTTTAAAGAAACCCGACCAGGTCCAGGGCCTCCCAGTCAGGCCCCGAGCCTCACGGACAAAACTAAAAAAATGTAGTTGTCATGCAAGTGAATACGATGTGGGTCCCCGTCACCTGGACACCACAAAGAGGGCACAACGCATTCCCAGGGTCGTGTCTCTTGATCACCTCTGTCCCAGATGGGATGCGATCTAGCAACAATGGCCAAACAATTTTTTTTGATCTTCAAGGGTAAGGACGCTTTCAAGAGTGGTGAGGTCTAGGAAATCAATAGCTGTCTGCACAAGGCATGATGTGCCGAGCCAACAGAAAAGACTCCACCAATCGCTAGGATATGATGTCCGGATTATGCGCGAGCACCCGTGGGAGGGCAGCCTGCAAACTAGCCACTCAACGGTCTCCACATGCCCAAATGTCCTTTAGGATAAGATATTCCACTAGCTGTTGTGGGCAGCCATGGAAACCAACACCATGAGATCCGAAATAACAAGTTTGGAAATCCCGTACATAATGGGACACTGTCAACCCATGGGTCAAGCCATAATAGGGTCCCATCACAATTGCCAATGGATACAAACAACCCTAGGCAGATCTCATGCTTGATTCGCCAGATGGACCTCCAAAACTAGGATACTTCCCTGCGTGCACATGCAAGTAGTGGTTGTCGCCGCGAGTACTTTGCTTGAATAAGTTGAACCATAAACCCATGTCCCCTCAAAAGATCCACTAAACCTAGCGCGACATAAGGCCACGTTCATGTGAGTTGACACCAGAATGCCTATCCCTCCTAGGTCCTTCAGCATGCACATGTCAACCCACTTCACCATATGGCACTTTTGCGGCCATCCATCGCCTGCCAGAAGAATTGGGAGAGATCCTTATCAAACGAGCTATGTACACCTTCGGATAGGATATATAACCCCATCATGTACATGGGGAGGCTAGAGAGATTGGAATCTATAAGGATGGTCTTACTACCTTACAAAGTAAAACGATCGCACCATGGTTCGGCCCTATATGCGAACCTCCCATAAGCGGGTCGAACTCGCTCAATGAAACCCCCGAGTTAGGTAGCGGCATCCCCAACTACGCAATGGGGAAGGTGGACAACCTGTAATTCAGGTTGTCTGCAATTCGCTGCTGCTCAGCCTCAAGGTAACCTAAAACCACCGCTTTGATCTTGTCAAAATTTCACATATTAGGACGATACCAAGGCTAAGGCACAGTTATGGGTAGCATAGCGGCGCCTCCAAAGAGTCTAACAATGGTTGTAAGCATATGCCTTTCCAATATCGACGTAAGGTGAGCAGAGCTTTCATCCAAGACACCATATCCACTCGGATGAGGGTCATTGATGTACCCAACTAGTTTGCGAGATTTCTACCCACAACGTGTGATAAGGAAGAAGCTACGGCCAAGCCACCCCCATTAGGTGTTCATACATGGGTGCATTGATTTGTCTTAACTAAGTCACGAAGGGCGTGGTAGTACAAAGCAGATACTAACACCAAGGCAGAAGCCAGTGCCATCATTAGCAGAGAGGCGTCACGGCATGCGAGCATGGAATGACACTATGCTTAAGTGTCACAGGAAATTATTTGGACATCATGTCATCGTCGCTCTTGGGCCATCGACAGATGCACATCAAGGAGCATATACGAGAGTAGCAACGCAAAGAGGTGGTTCATCGACGACCGCAACTAGGAATAAGACGTGGTGGAGATGAGTCATGAGTGAAATAACCAATTGAGATGGTCCGCCTTGTGCTTCCACCATTCGACACCTCCTCCTCTGGCGATGAGGAGGTTGGAAGGGTGCCAATGGCAGGAGAAGTTCCCTAGGAAGCTCCGGAGGCCTAAGATTTTTTTATTGATTTTGATAGTTACAAATTGAAAATTTTGGAATGGCAATTTCTTTTGGGAACGAGTCGAAAGGTGTATTTTGAAAAACTATAATCTGCTACGAGATTGAAACATTTTTGTAAATTTTTGCTAGACAACTTTCGTGTGGAGTGTGTTTGGGGATTCTTTGGATTGAGACACTATGCTTAAGTGTCATAGCAAATTATTTGGACATTATGTCATCATCACTCTTGGGCCATCGACAGATGCACATCAAGGAGCATATACGAGAGTAGCAACACAAAGAGGTGGTTCGTCGACGAGCGCAACTAAGAATAAGATGTGGCGGAGATGAGTCATACGTGAAATAACCAATTGGGATGTTCCGCCTTGTGCTTCCACCATTCGACACCTCCTCCTTTGGCGATGAGGGGGTTGAAAGGGTGCCAATGGCAGGAGAAGTTGCCTAGGAAGCTCTGAAGGCCTAAGATTTTTTTATTGATTTTGATAGTTACAAATTGAAAATTTTGGAATGGGAATTTCTTTTGGGAACGAGTCGAAAGGTATATTTTGAAAAACTATAGTGTGCTATGAGATTGAAACGTTGTTGTAATTTTTTGCTAGACAACTTCCGTGTGGAGTGTGTTTGGGGCTTCTTTGGATTGAAGGAATTTACAACACGTAGGAATAGGAAAAACACAGGATTAATATGCCATATCATATGAATTCCTACATGATTTCAAAACACAGGAATTTATAAGATGTGTTGGATGGTGCATAGGAA